ACTCATCTTAAAGTGGCCAGGTTTGGACAACACTGACCTACATTAACAGGGAGGGAGGAAAGTGCTAGTGGCTTTTTCTGTCTAATCAAATATAATATATGAAGTTATAAATTCAGGGGTGCCAGAGGAGAAGAGCTGTGAGAAAGGCCATGATGTGATAGAAATTGTTTATTTTGGCAAGATGAATGAAATTTACCTGACCATTACATCCCATTCTTCAGCAGGGTGTGAGTGTATGAGCTTAGTTTTTCTTTTGGACCATCAACTGCATACTCCTAAGGTCTATTTTTCCTTTGAGTATTGTTTAAGTGGTGTGGACAGGCACCCTACTTTGCAGAAGAAGGACTCTCAGTGAAAAACCAATTGTTTTATGACATTTTCTTTAAAAAGGGAGGGAGAGATTATTCTAGAAATTATTTCCAAAAATGCATTAATACTCTTACAGGAGCATATACAAACTTTGTACAGGCACTGTCTTACTTCCATTTTCATTTTTGGTGCTCTTTTTCTCCTAAATGGACATGCACCCTGGAAAATTTCTACTGTGTGCTTTTGCTGTTTTTCTCACTATATAGTCCATATTCTGTGGAAATAATAGTTAAAATACTAGTACTATAAATAACAGTAATGATAGTAGCATTTTATACCGTTCACCTAAATCAGAAGAAAAGATTTGACTGTTGTTCTTTGGTCTAATCCTGTTTAAGCAATAGATGAATTGCCCTCTGGGGGAGATGGGCGGCATATAAATTTAATAAATAAATAAATGACTGAATTTACCCTATTGATCTTGCATCATCATGCTCCATTTCCATGTCTATAATTTAATATGTGAGATTTCATGATTGTTTGTTGGATGAAACAGTGATTGATTGGTTCATAGCCTACCCTTTTAATAACAATATTTTGGGTATTATTTTTTCCAGTAAAGTAAACAATAGTGTGTTGGAATGATAGAAAACCACTGATCATGATTACATTTCAAAATGAAGAAGATACTTGCATTAAAATTCACATCAGCTTGGCCCTCCTGAAATATTGTTTTTCATTATTTGCAAAGAATGATTGAAGTGAGGTTCTGGAATCTGAGGCTGTTTATAGCACCTTGGCATGTCCCAAACCCCATGCTGGATCTCCTTCCTTACACTCCAATACCTGGCATCCTGCCAGATACCTGGCATATCTTGTTGCCTCTGTCTGGGAAACCTTGTTCACACATCTTGGTTCCATCTGTAAAATGCACATCCAACACGTGCATTTAGTTCAACTCCCCTTTATGGGCCATGCGCTGGAACATTACAGATTTTAATTCAAGGATTGGTGATAAAAAATGCCTTTTGTGTTTACGGCTCTTAAGGACAGTGGCACAATGGGAAATCCTGGGGAAGTGTCCTTGTTGCAATCCCAGTATATCCCTTCGTTTAAAGAGGTTGGAGAATCAGTCGTGCTGTTCTTTTAGAACAGGGCACCTTCTCAGGGAGAGGAAGAACCTGAGGACAAGAAAAAAAAAAAGAATGAAAAATGCAGAAATAACAAAACAAAACCCAGCAGGTAAGAGAAAGTTGGCAATCCCCATCATCCACTGGATATGTGTGAAGCTGTAATATACACCATCCTCTTTAGGTATATCATCTCTTTCTCTCTGTGTATATATACCCAGTGAGAGGATCTAAAATGTACCTAAAATGTTGAGATGAGGTTTGAGGAGGCAGATGGGTTTATCAGCATGCTCTGTCCATGATTTTTTTTTTTTTTTTTTTGTCTGTGTGTGACCTTGAGTCAGTTTTTGACTCCTGGCGACTGCCTGGACTAGTCCCTGCAGTTTTCTTGGCGAGGTTTTTCAGAAGTGGCTTGCCCTTGCCTGCTGTCTAGGGCTGAGAGCCCAGGTCACCCAGCTGCTTTCATGCCCAAGGCGGTACTAGAACTCAGAGTCTCTCAGAGCCTTAACCACTACACCAAACCAAAATTTAGGTCAGTTAAATTTGAGAAACAAGTGGAAATTGAGAGAGTTAAGCTGGAAAGCTTTGCTTTTCAATGGTGGCATTTGTTCTTGGAACAGCCTTCCTCTAAGGTAGACTGGCCCTTTTGAAATGGCCTTCTGGAAGCCAAGAGTCCAAACTCTTCCAGAAAGTATTTGGGATGTGATTGTTCACCATCATCATTTGTTCTTCATTATGTTTTTCATTTTTTTTTCTTACTGTTACTGTTAGTTTGGGGTTTTTGAATTGTGGACTCTGATGTTATGGGAGATATAGAGTCAATTATTTTTATTATTATTATTATTATTTCCTTTTTTTGTTATGGAGGTTTTATCATATTTGTTATTTACCTTTGGTTTTCCGTATGGTGGATGTTTCACTGCATTTTATTTAGTTGCAAGCTGCTGAGACTCAGGATCATTCATAATAAAACAATTGATTTATACAGAAATTATATATAATATATACAATAAATATGTTTTCTGTAGGCACAAGAGAGAAGGTTTAGGCACTGACTTTTTGTCCCAAGTCTTTCTACTCTTCTTTGATTGATGTGGCATATACCACATGACGAGTTGCAATGTTTGATGATGGGAACCAAATAGCTTCTTTGAGAGAACATTGTTTTGTTTTTTTAATGTTACCCATACCACTGTCTTAGTTAACACTGGCAGCATTGGAAAACAATTCTTATGTTACCAGTTACGGTGAAAGTATGGCAAATACTTTCCCAGATCTTCTCCAGGACTACAGCATGATCAGTATGTCGCAGTTCAGGGTGGCTGAGGATTCTCAGATGTTTTCGGTAGTTCAGCCTGGCTCAGAAAAAGGGAGCTACTAGAAAGTCTTCCACACCATGCTGAGCTAGAGGTCTGCACTCTTCATATTTTGCAATTCTTAAGAAAACATTCTTAAGAAATGAATGAATTTGCACTTATTTGTGATCCAATGTTTTGTTAGAATTTTTATGGGGCTTTAAAATTAATATGGTCCTGTATATCTCCTTAGATGGCAGCACCTAGCTGATGTTTGCTGATTCTGGAAGGAGACAGAGTCAACCTGAGCTAATATTTGGATGGGGAACCACCTGGGAATCCCAGGGCTGTTGACTAGACTGGGAAGTCTGGAAGAAATCCTGCAAGAAGACAGTGACAACACACTTCTATACCATGGCCAAGAAAAGTTCACAGGTGTGTCACCAGGAATCAAATCAAGCTTGAAGTATCTTTACTTTTACCTATTTATTCTTTTTTGCCCCCTCCCACCCTGTATGGGTGAATAATAGTTGTATGATAGTAAAGGATGGGCTGATTGCTCATAGAAACTTCCATCGGTTCAGCCTAGCTAAGGGAAAAAAATGACATCCTGCAGAAAATTGGGTAGGCTGTTGGACTTGATGACTTAGACACTTGCTTTATTTTCATTTTTTTATTTATATATCAAATTTGTCACCGCCCATCTCGTTCAAAAGCGACTCTGGGCAGTTTACAGAAAAAATAAAATCAATTAAAATACAAGATAAAAACAATCTTTAGCAGTAGAGTATGAATAGTATTAATCAATGCTATTGGGAATTGGGAAGGGAAACTCATTCCTCTCTCTATGGGGTGGGAGGCTGGTGGTGAGGAAACCTGTGGCTGGCCCCTTCCCTGAGCATCCACACACACAAACACACACACTCCCAAACTCTGAGATATCTTCGCAACTGGCTTCTCCCCAAGCAAGAAAGAAACAATACATGTTGAAAAGGCTGATCATCTCCCCTTACTGAACAACTCACACTCCTTCTCTCTCCCTGGCAGGATCATAGGCTTAATTGCCAGTAGGCCTCTCCACCACTTGGCCTTTGCTCTTCCTCCCACCACTTCTGCTGCTTGCCTTGGTTCCTCTCAGCTGGGCAATTCCCTGCTGGCTGCTCTGCCAGCTGCCAACTAAAACTCCTGCGTTGCTGTGCTCTTAGGTTGTTCCTCTTCTGTGCCACCATGGAGAGGAAAACCCTTTTGCTTCACATAATGTGTAGAGAAGAATCTCTGCTTCCCTCCTTATTCTTCAATTTTACTTAAGTAACTTGGCCTTTAAACTCCTCTTTGCTCCCTAAATCTCTTTTTTCCACTTCTTCTTTGCCAGGACTCCCATTTGCCTAGCTCTGCCTGTGCTGTGCACTTGCCCCTTCCTATTTGCCTCATGCTCTTTGCCATGATGTTTCTTTACTTTGTGTGATGGGCTGTGAGAAGAACCTTGGGAGACTGGAGGAAGAGCCACAGCCAGGGCAACAGTCAGCCAAGAGATATCTCAGCCCACAGAAGAATGGGAGTGGAGAAAGCGTCTCGGAAGGGACCCTTCCTAGTTCTCTGGAAAGTAAAGACAGGGGAGGGGGGAAGTGCTTTCAGACTTGCAAGAATCTGTTACTGTAGCCTTACAATAAAGGTAGTGTTAGTGCGCATGGTTTGCGTTTCCTGTCTGGACTACCTTGAAGGGCTGACACTAGTTGGCTTTCCTTCTTCTATTTCTTTCAGTCTCCCAGCTCTGGATCACCCTCACCTCTCCATCTGTTTCTGTACTGCAACAGCAGGCATTCTCTTCCTCTGACCAATTTCTTCCGACAGTGTTACGCTGTCCCTTATCTCGGGTCCTATTTCCTCTTCTTCAACAGACTAACCTTCCTGCACCTCTTAACAAAGTGGTTGTATGAGTACTGTATCCAAATATTTAAGTGCAATATGCATTATTGTTCCTCCATCTCTTTCTTCTTATCTGTATCTAAGTTTGGGACACTGTAATTACAAATGGAGTTCTGCTGTTAATATAGATTAAACTCAGCTGCTGCTGCAGATGTGAGATGATTGTTGATTGCAAGAGAACTTACCTACCAACTCTATGGGCTATTCATGTTGGCAGATAGAGCAAATAATTTTTGTTCAGTAGGGTCTGGAACCCAGGTCACACCTTTTCCACCTGCCTCTTTGTCAATCCTGGGTAATATGTAATATGCCAGAATATCATACTAATATATTTTATTTTTTATATATTTAACCTGTGACAGCAATGAATAAACATTGCAGCGGGCACCAGCATAGCTCACATATTTAAAGAACTGAAGTGCAAAAAAAGAATTTTGCTAAAAATGTTCACATTATAATCTCTCTTGGTCACTTCTACTGAGCTTTTGCTGAATCTCATAATCGGGTAATTATTTGATTTACCTAATCAAATAATTTAGATTTAGCCAGGAGAATTAGAAGATGTATCTTTTTCCCAACTATGGAATTCTACAGTACAGGCAGATGATTCTAGCTGCAAGTCAGGGTTAATTGCTTAAGTGCAAGTTAATCATTTATGGCCTCATTTTGCTGTAAAAGAAACAGAAAATAATGCAAAGAGTTACATAATTAACACTTGCCCAGCAGGGCACACAAGCTAACTAACAAGAGACAATTAAGATGCTATTCATCATTATTTGCACACCACACTGAACAGGAAGTAATAAAATGGGCAAAAAGTTCTATATCAAACTAGTTGATTTAGAGCAGGAAGGATCTAAGGGTTCTTTGGATGCAAGGATCTTGGCCTTAAATACCATGTCATTGCTTTCATTTCCAGCTAACTGAGAAAAAAAGGTAGGCCTACAGTTCTAAAGGTTTCAGACTGGAAGTAACATTACCCTAAACAAGCAATTAGTTATTACTCTAACCATTAACAAAGTGATGGTTTTGGATTTATTTGCTTGTTTAACACTATACGTCATCTTTCTCCATTTTCTAGTTCCCAAAGCAATCTGTGTTAAAAGTATTTCAAAAATGAAAGCCATGTTGTGGTGGCTAGAATGGTGAACACAGACTGCAGAGTTTGAATCAGTTCCATTGTTTGTAAGAAGCAAAGATAACTAGTATTTTGAACTTAGCCTGCCTCATAGGACTGTTGTAAGAATGAATAAAAGAGGACTATAATCACTGCTTTTAGCTCTTCAGAGAGTTGAGTTACTTTTAAATGTAATAATAAAAGAACAATAAACAGCAATAACATAACCACAGTCTTAAAACTCAGCCTACAAATCTGTCTTAAGATCAAATTCTGTATCTTTTAGGGAATCCTCACCCAGTTTAGATTGCATTCCTGCTCTTTTGCAATGCAGTTCTCTCTTTAACCCATCCTTCCCTTTTCTGTTCAGGATTATGACGAACATTTACTGCCCTTGAATCTCCTTGTTTTGGTTGAAATCTGCTCCCATTTTCAGAAGGGCTGGCTTCAAATAGTGTGCATTCTACTGCTGACTGCCTTGGCATGTTGGAATGTAATTATCAGTCTAAGTTACATTTTTAGAATTCAGGAGTACTCTTTAGTTCACTCTGTGCCGTGCCTGAATGAAGGTCATTCCAATTTCATGTTATGTCACAGAGTTTTGAAGTGACATGTGTTTAATGATTTTTTCCTCCCTAAATGAACTGTAACAAGTACTTCACTAATGGGGTCTAATGAGAAGCCAG